TAAAATTATATGACAAACATGAAATAGAAAGAAATCAAAACAATAAAAAATGAAAGTATTCAAACAAGGAAGGGTTAATATTTAATTCATGATTTTATCGGTCATTCTTAAAAACCAAACAAAGATTTTACTAAAACAAATCTAATAACCAAACAGAAATTTTATCAAGACAATTTCAATAACCAAAGTCATCAAACAAGAGAATCACACACTTGATAAAAAAAACACTTAAGTAAGATCATCACTACAACCAAGATATTACAAATATTTTTCACTCACAAACCAATCAGACATCTTTAGTGAAAACCTGTTGAGGGAGATTTTTACTATGCAGCATTGAACATTGTGAGACTTTTCTTTCCAGAACAACATATTTGCGAGAGACACACCACATACTCACTCAAAACCTTAAGGTGATAGGTGTGCGGGTTCTCCCACTTATAAATGCTCAAGTCACCACATTCTTATCCAATGTGTGACTATTATCCACAATACTCACACTTGTTATACTTAACACTTCCCCTCAAGTGTGAGTCTATCCACAATGCTTTCACAATGCTCCACCTTAAACGGAAGCTTCAACTTTGCAACTGCACTTTCTGTTATGTGTTTCTTGCTCACCACCCGTGTACCGTCGTTGACACTCTTCAACGGGACACCTCCTAACCACCACCTATGAGGAGTACTTTTGATACATGTGAGTCGGTCCTTCACTCGAACTAGGCTCTGATACAACTGTTGGGGGAGATTTTTACTAGGGAGCATTGAACATTGTGGGACTTTTCTTTCTAAAGCAACACCTTTGTGAGAGACACACCACATACTCATCCAAAATCTTAAGGTGATAGGTGTGCGGGTTCTCCACTTATAAATGTTCAAGTCACCATATTCTTATCCAATGTGTGACTATTATCCACACTACTCACACTTGTTATACTTAACAAAAACAATTAAAAAAGAGAGGAGAACAATAGAAATAATATATATATATATATATATATATATATATATATATATATATATATATATATATATATATATATATATATATATATATATATATATATATATATATATATATATATATATATATATATATATATATATATATATATATATATATATATATATATATATATATATATATATATATATATATATATATATATATATATATATATATATATATATATATATATATATATATATATATATATATATATATATATAATCTTATCGCCTTTGATGTATTCGAACAAACAACCTCTCTTTATTAAACCCTTGATTTCATCCTTTAGTTGAATGCACTGTTGGTGGTGTGGGTGGAAATCTTATGAAAGCGACAATACTTCGACTTATCCATCCTAAAGGATTCTATATCTGAAAAAAGAGTTTTTGTTCTCGTTCTTCTAGAATTCAGTGTTAGCACACACTTGGTATATTTTCTCTCGTGAAGTGTTGAACGGAGTATACTTGTCATATCGGTTGTGGGTTCAACGCTCGAACTCTTCCCTTTGCTGATTGGATTTCTTTCTGATGGTCGAGTAGAACATATGTTTATTACTGCCTAGTTATCTCCTCGGGCAATGAGATTTTCTTCAACGTTGATGAATGGTTGCGCCATGTTTGGTAGTTCCTTCAGCTACGGGTTGTGCTCTAACTTTTCCTTGAAGGAGTTATCCTACTTTAGATTGTTCTAAAATATCATTCACTCGAGGTTCTCATTGGAGCCTCCCACTTCCACATCTACTTGAGTGAAACAGTTGATGTACGACCACAGACTCTCCTTCTTCCCCTGTGTGTTCCCCCATAGGGTAGTTATTGTCACAACTTTCCTCTTTCGAGTTGTGAAGCGTGCAGTGAAGTTCTCACACAAATCGATCCACTACTTGATGCTCCCATCTGACAAAGCTTTGAACCATTATCTAGATGATCGTGTTAGTGTTAGTGCAAAGGGATTGGAGTTTGTTGCCTTGCCATAGTGGTAATAATTCAAGAGATCATCGACGTGCTACACATGTTTGTCAGGATTCTCCTTTCTATCATACTCTTTCAGCTTCAGAGGTTTCTCCAATGATTTTGGTATTCGACTATCCAGAATGCGAGCACGTAAAGGATATTTTTGTTGGTTCTTAACTGGAGACTTCTTCACTTGTTCTTATGAAAGGGAATGTGAATACCTCGACCTCCTTCTGAATTGTGAAGAGGAGTCTGATGCATCTTATTCCTTTTAGAAATATGACTTTTTTTTAAAAAAGATTAGTCTAACTGTGGATATATACATTGATGTTGATTATACAGTTTCAGTAAGTGATTGAAAATTTATTTCTGACTATTTTAATTTCTTGTGTGAGAACTTTGTTACTTGGAAAAGCAGGAAGTGGAGTGTGGTGACTTGAGCAACCATAAAACAGATTTAAAAATAAAATATAAAAATCCTATGAAATTGGATTATGAAAATCAATCGGTCATCAATATTGTACTCTTTCATGTATTTAAATGATCAAACATATAAATCTAATTCATAATATTCCTAAAATCAACTCTAATCATACTGTTAACATGATTCATAATCTGTATATTTTAAATTTTTTTTTCAACAAAGAACAATACTCTATCAAATAAAATAACATTATTTAATATGATTATGATCAAAGAACATAGAACAATACTCTATCAAATAAAATAACATTATTTAATATGATTCTGATAAAAGAAAAGTGCTCTAACTTACAATATTTATGAACTTTGTTGCCTCTATATCTTCAAACATAATGAAAATATGTCTAATCAAAATTCAAGAAAATTTTCTAACTGTGACCCCTGCATCTCACTCACCAAACCATGTCACCAGTTTCATAATATCAATTTTGACATAAAATTAAGGACCATCCCATGATGACTAAGATTCCCCTTGAACACCCACCCACAAGTCACCATAATATTTATTAACAAACAAGACAAATAATGATGTAAAAAAACAAATAAAATTAACATATATTTGAAGTATAACACAACCATATGGCTAAACCAATAAGTGCCTCAGAGGAGGACCAACATCAAAACATGTACCTCTTTGATTTATCTTACTTGTATTAAATGTTTTGTTGAATTTATATTCTCTTTGTTACAGAGTATCTGCAGCTTCAAGATTCTGCCATCATACCATATCTAATAATATATATACTAAGAGTTGTGTTCAAATAAAATTAAAAAAAATCATGATAATAAAATTTTTATTTTTGTTAAAAATTAAATAAGTGGAACATCGCAAATTCAAACTTGTACACACCTTTATATCTGATGTCCTTATACAACTACCATCTGAAGAAGTAATAATTTCCTAAATCGGAAAGTGAATTAAAAGATGAAACTAGAATGTAATTCAAAATTTATTTAGAAGGTCAAATGGTTACTTATGGGATCCACCAATACTGACTATATATAATTGTTGAACAGGTTTGTTTGTATTTCTTGAAATTTATCAGTAGGGTAGAGGAAATGGCAGGTACTGAATTCAGAAATTTAGCTGAATTTTGTGGCTGGGGTGAGATCAAATTTGGATAGTTCTTATGACAGTGGTTCCCACTCAATTTTTGAAAAGATAAAAGAAATTTGAATTAATTAAAAAAATTAATTTGCTTTGATTAAATTTTTTAAAATATTTTTTTCACTTAATTCAAACCAAATAAAACCTATAAAAGATGAGTTGATTTGGGTTGATTGAAATTGAATTGATATTTAAAATTTTTAAGAAACTTATAGTATTAACTAATTTTAAGGTTTGAACCACTCTATGTTCAAAGTTTTATTTTCTACATTATATTCATTAAATCGGATTTCTAGAAATTTTGGTGTATATTTTATTTGACATCGAATTTATATAAAATTCGGTGTATTATATTTTTTTTTGGCATCCTTGTAAAATAAAATTAAGTAGATTGATTTTATTTTTTGTCTTTTTATTCCGTCAGTCTTAAATGGAAGAATATTTTACGTAAAACATTTATTTTCGGTATTACATAGGAATGTTTTATTAACATGACATTATGCAAGTCTTTAATTATTTTATTTTATGTTATAATTGAAAATATTAATATTCTTGGTAGAAGTATTATTAAAAACACATAATTGAATATTACTAAGGCTCAGTTAATTGAAATACACTATTTTACACTAAGAGGCTCATTTAATTGAAATACACTAATTTACATTCACAGTTAATCATAATAGTTGGAGGTTAGAAAAAATTTAACTTTTATTTTAATCATTAATAAAGTAATATCAATGGATAATAGTGATGAATTGAGAATGTAAATTTTTTTACACTGAGTGTATAGTAATTAATCTCAATAAACAAATAAGTACGAACCCACTTGTACCGATTAATTTGTAAAGTCTGATAGGATTATAAATACTATATTATTTCTAGGTTTTTCAGAATTCTTGATAGAAAACCATCCCCACATATTACACCAGATTTTACCAAACATTCGATGAAAACTCAAACATTTTATATCAATTATGTAACAAATCCGGTAAAAATGCCCAACCTTGTGTATATGAATCACTTCTCTTATATATACAAGATTCTAACTATACTATATTCTGTGTCAATTTTGTAGAAAAGAAAAGGCAATCATTATTATTAGAATTTGGCCTAACACAACCTTACAAAACCGGTTGGTAAGGTGAGGGGTGTCACTCTATATAAACTATTTCAATGCTCTATCTCCAACCAATGTGAGAATTTAGGATCTTCCTAATAATTACTTAAAGAAAATAATGAGAATTTAGGATCTTCCTAATAATTACTTAAAGAAAATAATGGGGTGCAACAATTCATATAACTATCCTTTTAAATGAGTAAATATGAATGAGCTTTAGAATACAAACCTTAACTTAAAAGCCTACAAACAAATTCCAACTCAGAAATTCTATGTTAAACATGAAATGAGTAAATATTATTTTAGATGGTAACTTGACAATGGTAGCATAATTTACATGTAGGATATTCGAATTTGTTCTCTCCATGAGCAGTATCCTTGCCAACAACTGCAATTATCTATTCTATCATTATACAAATCTGGACCTGTCATTGGAAAAAGAAGCCACAAGAAACTCACAAGTCCCATTATGGATGCTATACTTACAATCCCTGAAACAACACAGACAGAGTTAAGTCCAAAATTACATTCATGATTCCATAAAATTACATATACGTACCGCTTCTCGGCGAATACAACACAGGCAGGCCCATAAAATTACAAAATACATGAGCAACTAATGGAGCAGCGAGATGTCCTGCAGAGTGAAAGCAGAAAACAAATATAAGGGACAGAAAAAGGATGCTAGAATGTACCGAATTTCGTGTTTCATACGTATGTTCTGTCATAATTTAAAAGCAGTCGGACCATATATGTATTGTAGCCATAACCAACAATCAAGCATCACATACCTGTTCGAATAAAAAGAAAAGAAGCATATGACCCAAAGATAACAGTGTAGCCAAGCTGGAGTCCTGTAAATGTGATTCATTTGACTGAGATTATTATCTAACAATACTAGGTTTAAATTCATGACATTCTCCGCAAGCAGCCTTGCCAGGAAGACTTTCAATAAAACTAAACATTAAGAGTACCTATAACCATAGCAGCCTGCATTATTCTGTAGTTTTGTTTAGCGTATATCTCCGTGAAATGATTTAAATGAGCTGCACAACAAACATGCATTAAAAATTCTCATTAAGCCTCACATAAGTTGTATTTGTAAGGGATAATGATACTAGCTCATTATATTATGTACTCCACAGTCAGATGCAAGTTTATCAAATATTATTAAGTGATTTTAGTTTGCTATCAAAACTTTCATCTTCCATGTGTGCTACGCAAAATATGCAGTAATTTCATAGAAGTATTTAGAACTTCCAAAGTCCAAACTGTTACTATTGCTTATATCTTATGATAATTTTTGTTGAAAGGGGTGTCAGTGTTAGCGTATAATATACGATCTAAAATATAAGGAAATATCTTCTAGTTCTACATAGTTTACATAATTTGTAAAGAATTACTATGTCAAGAGTTACTCTTTGAGCAAGTGGATCCACATATAAATATAAATGAATTTATTGCTTTTACAAGTTAAGACAGTTTATTGTCATGTTATCACTAAACATAGCACTAGATTATTTCATACAATCGCTTAAATCCCTAACAATGCTATAATGGATTATGATGACTTCTTCTTTTGGACATTTTTAAACTATTAATGCTAAAGACCTAGAGATTCTCATGTATACAAAATAACAGAAAATCCTACTCTCTAACATTACAAACCAGATACAATTTCTAGAATTTACATAAAGAAACTTACCTAAGCTGAAGAAAACGGGGCATAGAATCATGGCACTGTATGGTTTAAACCCTCCACAGAGAAGTATAGGTATCATGCACGCTCTAAACACCAACTCCTCAGTAAGGGGTGCCTGTTAATCAGCATATCATAACAAAAGATTAACACGGTGTGTGTGAGAAATGACGACGAACCCATAAAATAAAACACACCGCCTAAGTTGTATGTGAACTAACAAGTCAGCAAATGGTATTTACTTGGTAATTTCAACTCTCATTATAAGCAAAGACAAAATTAATGTAAGCGCATAGTGGCAAAAGGTTCACAACAATCAAAATAGTTGTAATGATACTAACCACAACATAGCTTCGCCATGTCAAAACATTTGATGAAATTGCAGACAACCAGTCAATATATCTCGCCATGGCACACTTGAAGGAATCAAATGAAAGCCCACCACCAAAAAATGTATGCTGCCTCCAAAAATCAAACAGCAGAAGAGACTTGAGGAACAAAGACCCGGCATACATTAGAGAGGTCAAAGCAAGAGGAAGGACCAAAGCCTGCCACTGTTTCATACAGAAAACAGTATTTCAGCAAGGAAATTTAGGATCGAACGGGTGACCCTGTTTTCCCAATCTGCATACCACAGAAAGAGCATAATTTTGACATCACCAGTCCACACAAAACAAAACAAAATCACCTCAATTGAACCTTTGAATGTCTTAGATGATGGTGAAACTCACCACGTGATCCATTCGGACTCCATAAACACCCAAAATGCATGCCAAGTCCCTAGTTTGTACCTGTCCCACAAAGTAAATTAACACAGTGAATGGTAACAGTAATAATTAACACAATATAGATGTCATAAGAGTAAATTAAATCAAAGGAAAAATGCAAATTATTTCCTAAAGTTTCACTAGTAATGTCAAATGGTGGCTATAACTATACTGTAGACAAATCTTAACAAAATCGTTATTATTCAATGGTATGTGATTTAGTACAAAGTATTATCAAATTGCGGCTTTAACAGCTCTATTGAACACTAGCATAGCAGAATTTTAACAAACCACTAGTTTCTGAAAACCAATATTGGCAACATTAACACCTAAACAAATGTATTTCTCCTAAACAGTTTAAATACGTAAAAAGGTTAATTCTTCTGTTGAAAAGTAAATAACTAGCTTTGAAATTTGAATAGACTCTTGCAAAATTATTTTGATAAAAGTAAGATCAATTGGTTAGGTAAGTCCATTATGTGATGTAACTCACTGAAAACAGACAAAAAAAAACGGGATTGAAACAGTGATAATAAACAAATTGAAGTAAGCTAATGAAAGAGAAGAGGAGCGTACATACGGGAAGAACAAAAGGAGTGATGAAGAGGGAGAGAGTGGTTGAAACACCGGCGCATAGGAATCGTCGTATCATGAAATTGGTGTAAGAAGAAGGAGGTGGGAGACGAAGGAGGAAGGTCGGAGCGTATAAGGTTACGACGTAGAGCAAGGCCAATGCAATGCAAGTGATAACTGCAATGGGTTTGGAAACGGCGTCGTTTTGGAGGTCCATTGAGAAAGCTTGTTGTTGGGGTTGCTGAAACCCTAGAGGAGGAAAGGACATAGTTTGACTCGTGTGAGATCGGTACTTTCGAACATGGAGAAGTGGTTTGGCCTAGTGACGCTAGTTTGTGTTTGTTTTAGTTATTGCTTTTTTTTATTTAAAAAAAAAATAACTAATTAACTTTTTTAATAAGGTAAATATTGAAAGGAAAATATCCAAAAACTCATTTAAAAAGTGATAAATCTATAGAAAGGCTCGATTATATTCTTTACAAAATCTTTTCTAATGATTTAAATTATAGAGTCAAGGAATTGAAGAGAATTCGATGAGAGATTTATGTTAGCAAAAAAGTTTGTATGCAAATTCTCTTTTTTATATGTGAAAGTTTATGTTAACAAGAGAAATTAAACACTTGTCTCAAGTTTTTCTTAGTTGTCAGAGAATTAATGAAGGGTCGGAAAAAGCTTGAACTACAATTAGAGAATTTGTTTCTATCCACAAGTTGAGTCAAGTCTTCTTGAAGCAAGTGTGATAGCTCTGGTCACCGCATTAACTCTACTTGAATGGAGGAAAGAGAGTTGAGATTTTCTAAGAAGGCGATAATGAAGTTTCTAAGTCTATTCCTAAATATTCCACCACAACCCGATTTGTGGGAATCATGGTCAAAAGCACCATCGCAATTACACTTCAACCAATTTGAATGAGGTGGCTGCCAAATCACTTGCTTGATGGTATGGACTTTAGGATAGTGAATCTTGATGTCAAAAGATTTAAGCAATATGAAATCCTCCATGAAATAAGTTGCAGTTGCACTGGAGTTGTTAACTGAGGTAGAAACTTGAGCCTCTATGCTTGCAATTATTATGTTATGATGGATGAAAGTATGGGTGTGTCTGGTCTTTCATCCATACATAACTAATCTAAGGGAAATAAAGGATTGAGATAGCTCAGATGAGTCAAAATGCCAAAACTCCTCCAAGTTAGATGGCCCAAAATGATTCCAATAGTATTAAAGAACCAACTCCATATAAATTTAGCCTACTTATAAGAGAAGAACAAATGATCAAGAGTTTCAATGTTGGCTTTGCCCAAAGAGCAATAAGAGACTATGTAGTAAACTCTTGACATCAAAGCCTCCTCAGTAGCAAGCTTTTGGTACATTAATCTCTAGATAAATATTGACTTAGAGATGGGATATTCTTATTCCATATACTGATGGTCCAAGGAATTTTAATTGGAGATTTGTATTTATGAATGTATGCTTCCTTAAAGTTGACCAGACAAGAAGAGAAGTGAGGAAATATTATTTGATTATCTTCATCCATATCAGAGAATAGAGTGGCAAGAAATCTGGATTGAAGAAAAGGGAAATAACATTCCAAGACTCAACAAGGTTCTAGTGACCCTCATAGTGAAATTTTGAAGCTTTAGATCATGTACTAATGCTCTGATCTGTAATAAAGTCTAAGGTTACTTCTAAGTGAAGTGGGTGGCCACACCAAGATTTCATCCAAAATTAATGTCCTTACCATTGCCCAATAACCAACAAGAGTGAGAAATGGTAAGAATAATTTCATATTTTATTTCATGCCATATATATGATAAAATGTGGTGCTTAATCAAACCATAAGATCTAAGGGTTCTTAATCATAGTATATTGGCCCATGGCTATGTACAATTTAGTATGTCCCAAGGCAATTTAAGATTGGTGGCTTGGTTCAGGATTTTTATAGATCTAAGTTCATAGCGTCCACTTGAGATATGAGTACAAACCTTTTTCCAAGCAACCATGAACAACATTATATCATTCACATTGCCATTATAAATAAAATTTCTAGTAGACTTCTCAAATCCTTTATATAGGGAAATAGGCCAGGAGTAGATAGTAATAGAGTGAGTAAGCATTCTTTGGATAACATTTATTACCAACATGACCCGCTCTTCCATTGATAGGAAGGATCTCTTCCAAGGTGAAAGTTTGGAGATGATTTTGTTTGCAATTGTATGATAATGTGTGTATGATAATGAGCCTTTGAAGAAGTCAGTTAGCATATAAAGATGGTTCAATCTATGTATGGAAATGGAGCTTGAGTATATGGTTGACTTAGTTATAGTGAAAATATGGCTTGAAGCTAGAGAATAAGTAGTGAAAAGGTTAGATAGGGCGTCAATATTACTTATGGAACTTGTATAGAAGATGAAAATATCATCAGCAAAAATCACATGAGAAGGGATCATGGAATTTTTAGAAAATGTGATCAGCTTGAGTCTTTTTTCCAAAACAAATTTTAATATATTCCTAATAAGCATCTCTTCTACCAAACAAAAAAGAAGGGGATGACTATTCTCGTGTACCTTCACATTCCTTAAAGCATAGGCCGCAACTTGCTTATGCTGCATAAGAATACATTATAAACCTTGATAAGACGTATCATGGTCAATATCATACGACTCCTCTGGTTATGGAAAAATAAGCACCAGAGAGGTGGTAAACTTTTATTTCATCAGTTGTAAGCTCTTTTCACATTATTTCATCCATAAAAATATTAGGTTCTTCTTATTAAGTTGAGTCAATGGGATACAATCTGCGAGAATCATTTGATGAGTCTTTTGCACTATTAAGCTAATCTCATAAAACTTTTAACCTCAATAGTTATCTTAGGTAGCTCCTAATCTAGCACAACTTCTACGCTAGACAGGTCAACAACAATACCATCCTTCAAAATCACATGCCCTAGAAACCTCATTTCATCAAGCCAAAATTTAAACTTTCTTAAGTTAGCATATAATTATTTCTCCTTCAACACTTGCAACACCTGACGTAAGGCCTCCTCGTGCTCTACCTTATTCTTGGAATAGATGATAATATCATCGATAAATATTACCATAAAATTTTACAAAAATAGATGGAAGATACAATTCATATAATCCATAAATATGGTTGGTGCATTGATCACTCCAAAAGGCATCACTAGGTATTCGTAATTCCCATAGTGAGTTTTAAATGATGTATTCAGACTATACTCTTCCTTTACTTGCATTTGATGGCACTTTGACTTCAAATAAATCGTCAAGAATGACATTTCATCTCCGAGATGGTCCATGAGGTCTTCAATATGTTGTAATGGATATTTGTTAGTTAATGTAACTTTTTTGAGTTATCAATTATCAATGAAAAGTCTAGAGTTAACATATTTATTATTCACAAGAAAAGTTGGGGATCCCTTGAATTGAATGCCCTCTAACTACTTATTTAGCTTATCCAAATCCGAAGGAGACATTATGTAGGAAGAAATATAGATAGATTATGCTTTAGGAGTGATATCAATAAAGAGTTCAACATTGTGAAATGGTAGTAAGCCTGGTATGTCTGTTGGAAACACCTCTAAGAAATCCCTCACCACTATAATAAAAATGGTTGATTTTTGGGCTCATGCTGATGGAATTTAAAAATAAATATTTCTGAATACCTCCATGCAAGGAAAACATCAATCAATTGGCTTTGAGGAACAGGGTAATGCATGAGTCTGGAAATATTACAAACTTACAAGCATAATCCAAAAGAACATAATGATTGGACAACTAGTTCATTCCAAAGAATCACTCCAAGACGCCTAAGAGGGATACAAATTAGATCGACCTTGAACTTCATGTCCATGACAGTAAAAAAACACTACAAGTAAGCCTCACTAAAAGTCACGAGTTCAGAAGACAATATCAAGACCACCAAGTTTAAGGGTAAATGTGTCAGGAGAAGTTGTAGGGAGTTCACACGCTCGTAAGAGATAAAAGACTATATAGCTCTAGAATCATATTATACAAGAAACAATTTTCCATAAATTTCACATTCACCCTCAATTATATCTAAAGGGTCATTCTTTTCTTCTCTGCTAATATTGTACACATGCCCTTGAGTCACATGGTGTCCAACTAAGGTTTTATTGTTATTGCTCATAGAGTTATTGTTGATCCTCTTAAGGCCATTATTAGCAATATCATATAAATTCTAATAGATATAAAAATGTATTTTCTTGATTGGGAAAGAAAATGCTTTGTATCCTTCCTCGTGGAAGCAAAAAAGCCAAATAGGTTGATCTTGGCTTTGATTATTGTTTTACAGAGTTTGACCTCTTATATTCTAGCCTTGAGGTTGATATATTATATTTCCATGGGGTCCGGGGTAAGACCCTTGTTGTATTCAATTCTTCTGTGAGTAGTTATTTTCATGCCAAAAAAACTTAGTAAGTGTGAGATGTTGGATCGAACTCTAGTGTTGTCGAAGTCTGTTCGTAAGTAATGCGTGTTGTAGTCGAAGTTTGTTCTAACATGCATTAGTCAATATTGTTAGGGTTGTTAGCATGTTGAATCGGGCCTTGCTTGTAAGCCCAATTGTTTAAGTTAGCTTGTACCCTAAGTTAGCTTGTAATGGGTAATTGTTAAAAAGCCCATTAGGTTAGTGTGCTATTTTTCTTATAAATAGGATACTAGTTTCTCAATCTTGACATAAGGAAAAATAGGAAGATAAAATCCTAATTTCAAGAGAGAGAGAGGTTATTTTGTTATTCTTGTATACTTGTAATCTTGTTCTAAGAGAAAGGAAAGAATATCAGTTTAATAACCAATCCTTGTTGTTTTCTTCTTTATTAACCATAACCCTTGTATGTTTCTTGATCATTAAGAAACTGTTTATATTTAGTTTGAAGGTATTCAATTCACAACAAATTGGTGCGATGAGCATGGAGAAGATTCCTTCAACAAAGTATGAGATTGAAAAGTTCACCGGAGCGAACGACTTCAGTCTGTGGCGCTTGAAGATGAAAGCCTTATTGGTTCAGCAGGGTTATTTGGAAGCGTTGAAGGGTGAGGCAGCCATGGACGCTGCGTTAACGGCAAAAGAAAAGATTGGCATGATCGAGAAAGCCCACAGCGCAATATTGTTGAGCCTTGGTGATAAGGTTCTTCGACAGGTATCAAAGGAGACTACAGCATCGGGATTATGGGTGAAACTTGAAAGTTTGTACATGAGCAAATCTCTGGTGAATCGACTCTACCTGAAGCAA